CACGTCACTCAAACACAGAACCAGGAATCACCTGATTTCAGGGAAAGAGAAACTGAAGTGTAGTTGAGCTGTTGTGTGTTTGTGTCTCTGTATTTAAGCAGTAAAATGGCAGAAGCCAGAGTTTCTCAGGATGAGTTCTTGTGTGCAGTGTGTCTGGATCTCCTGAAGGATCCAGTGGCCATTCCCTGTGGACACAGTTACTGTAAGATCTGTATTACAGACTGCTGGGATCAGGAGGATCAGATGAGAGTCTACAGCTGCCCTCAGTGCAGACAGACCTTCAGTCCAAGACCTGCTTTAGCTAGAAACACCATGCTGGCTGAAGTGGTGGAGAAACTGAAGAAGACCAAACTCTCTGCTGACTGTGACGCTGGAGCTGGAGATGTGCAGTGTGACGTCTGTACTGGAAGAAAATACAAAGCCGTCAAGTCCTGTCTGGTGTGTCAGGAATCTTACTGTCAAACTCATTTTGAACATCATGAGGAGTTTCATTCACGTAAGCCACACAAAGTGACTGATGCCACTGGACGACTGCAGGAGATGATCTGCCAGAAACATGAGAAGCATCTGGAAATGTACTGTATTACTGACGAACAATGCATTTGTGTGCTGTGTACGAAATATGAACATAAAAACCACAACATTGTATCAGCTGCAGCACAGAGGAAAGAGAAACAGGTATTTAGTCAGTGCAGTGATCCAATAGTCTAGTTTCAGTGTACAGTCACAGCTTAATTACACAGAAACACTGTCAGTGTGAAGCTCTACGTCTGTGTTAGTTTCACTTTTACTAGATGTACGCATATGGTGTGAAACAAGCCTTAATCTTCACTATAATTCATGTACGATGATCAGAGGCGTCATGCCCATTCAAAGTGAGGGGCACGTGACCCCTCAGATTTTTGAGCCAAGTGGATTTTGAATGTAGCTTCCAAAAGACAAAAAATAGGTGTGATTAGAACGTTCAGATCGTCATCAGCTGCTAAATTAAAATCTGCGTTCGCTGGCTGGCACTGAGCTAGATTTTACAGCACTGTGCATTAACCAATCACACACAATGCTGTTGAGCTTATGAATGCAATGACCAATCAGAGGTGTTCAGATGAGTCATCGCTAAAATGCCAGTGTTTTCTTCACTCGCTCGCTCACTGAATACCTCTTTCTGGCGAATTCTCTCGTCAGAAACAACAAAGTGCAGATGTGTGTACGAATATGTAAGATATAAATTATTAGTGTAAACAGCTTCAGTGATTTTAATGGGAGTTTTTGAGAGTGCTTGAACTAGACTGTCAGTGTTTTTTGATAATGTAAATGTTCTTTGCTCTCTTTCTGTACAATGAAAGTGTTATGATTTAGTAGCCTAACTTGCAATAAAATTGTAAAATTCACATTAAATATAAACTCAGTCGTTCTAAAATATGTTATGGCATGACATCCATATCTGTTAATTAAGTAAACACAGGTTTTTATGCATAGTTAATAGATAACAATATTAGGTTACTTTGACCATCGCCCACTATAGATCAACATAATCTATAAAGATGAGAATCAAGATATGGGGATGTTTCGAGAAAAAAAACATAAGTGCTGTTGTGGCTGCTGTATGTCACATGACGACCCCCCCCCCCAACTCGTGCCCCCTCAAAGATAATGAGTGCATGACGCCCCTGACGATGATTGTAACTGAAAATAATTTCTGGTGTTTGAACCTACAGCTATTAGTTATCAGCTCCACTTTTACTGAATTCATCTTTTTACATGATGATTTAGTGGCAGTAGTTTTCTGTGACGTTCACTATCATCCGTTTGTCCTGCAGAAGCAGCTGAAGGAGACGGAGAAGGCAGCTCTTTCTTCTGGAAGATATATTTAGCTGTCAAACACCACTAGCGAACTATCAGTGAACTTGATAGTACCAATTCTGATTAACGTTCATCAAAATTGGATCAGGCGATCCTCAAACCTAATAAAATTTATTTTTATTTGGCTATAACACATTGATGAATTTGACCGTGAAGACCCCAAACACGAAGTCAGGCTGTATATTAGCATTGCTTCAGCATATTGAAACCAAACCAAACCTGAGTCTTAAGGGTCCTTGTGAAGTTGGCTTTCAGCTCTGGAAATCTCTTAGGAATCATTTCTCTCAGCTCTTTCTTCTGGAAGATATATTTAGCTGTCAAACACCACTAGCGCCACCAACAGTTCAAAACGTTAAAATTTTTATCTGAGTTTTGCTTCTGATTTATTACATCATGGTGAAATCAGTGAACTTGATAGTACCAATTCTGATTAACGTTCATCAAAATTGGATCAGGCGATCCTCAAACCTAATAAAATTTATTTTTATTTGGCTATAACACATTGACGAATTTGACCGTGAAGACCCCAAACACGAAGTCAGGCTGTATATTAGCATTGCTTCAGCATATTGAAACCAAACCAAACCTGAGTCTTAAGGGTCCTTGTGAAGTTTCAGATTTATGTTCTTAGCAGATGTTTTATCATCCAAACTATTTCCTAGAAAGTTCACATAGAGTATAAGTGGCAAATACTAGAATATGTAGCCCTACTGTGATATAATGAATATGAGAAGAATGAAGCTGATGCTGCGAAAGTGCTGGATTGAGTTGCATTACTAAAGATCAGTCAAGTCAACACGAGCTGCACAAATCTGATGTCGGTGCAGGTTATTGAGTGAAGTGTGGAGCTGATGAGTTTTGATTTCTGTTTTCTGTAGAGTTTCCAGTCTCTCTCAGCACCTCCTGAATCTACAGACGTAAATGATGACTCCTTCAGTTCTCTCGTCTCTTTTGATGATCTGAGAGAATCTGTCCATCAGCTGAGAGACAAACTGGAGGATTTCTGTAAAGAGGAGCTCAAGAAGATCTCAGACAGAGGTAAAGTCCTGGGCCCTCATTTATCAACAGTGTGTAGAAAAGGTTCTATATTTTGTCCTATGAATTAAATTTAGAATGTGCCTAGGTACAAGAAAATCCTTATTTATCAAACGTGTGCACGCAGTTCTTACGCACATGAGTAAGCAATCATTGTTGATAAATCCCACACGTGCGTAAGTACCATGCTCGTTCATGTTCACGGTCATTTGCATTCGGAAACGTCTCCAATGAACCATATATGGTGACAACACCTCCCTTTATAAATCACGTGAATGTATGTGTCCTCACCGAAATCATGGCAAAGAAAGCGGTACCGACTGAGAAGCCATTCTGTGCTCTCACTCTCAGCGTGGTCTTTGAAAACGCGTTCTCTGTGGAGTGCATTGTTTGCCAAGTATTCCAATAACGAAAGATAAGCCATTGCACAGTCTGAGACAAACATTTGTCACAGCTGTCTTTTATAGGGTTTGACAACAGTTACACAACTTGACTGTTTAAAACTAGACAAATTATAAATTTAATGTTTTATAATTAAAGGAATCACAGGACATTTTAGATTGCTTAACAGTAGAACTGCCAGAGGTCGCTGTATACCTAAAAGCACCAGCGGGTAAATTTTACCCACGCACATGACAACTGTATTTATATGGCTAAAGAACATATTATTTCACTGTATTATGCCACTGTCTTCACAAAGAAGTGTCTAGAGTCATGAAATGATTATGTCTAGTCATCAACTATATTTTTATTCTGTTGTTTTATGTTCAAGACTTTTTTAATGCAGGCTACACTAATTCATAACGTTCGTAGCCTAAGCTAAAAAAAAAAAAAAAGCCTGCACTGACAATGGAAATTAGAAGGTAGTAGCCTAAATATTTGGGTGGTGTAATATTATAATACAGTGTCATTAATCAATGTATTAAGATAACCCATGCTATTTAAATTACTAAAATAGCCTATAGACAATAATGAGCAATAATATTTCACCACACTGCATAGGATGATACGATGACAAATAGCGCACAGATTCACCTAAATATTTATAAATTTGTTTAGTTTTATCATTTATAATTTGAATAAGAGAACAACACCATTAAACTTTGGGTAATCAAAAAATGGTTTTATTCATTACATCATATAGATCTGATTTTTTTTTTCTTCAGGAAATGGCCAGACTAGAATAGCAACACAGTAGCGAACAATAAATTATATGGCAAGACAAAAATTAAATAATTAAACCAAAGTTTGACCAATTAGAGTAACGTGAGGCTAAAACATCTAAATATGATGTCTGGGTCACTGTCAGATGCTGAGCCGACCCATGACAGAAATGACAGCGTGAAAATACATGCATTATATAGCGGGTAAATTTGACCCGCTGGCGCTTATAGGTATAAATGCCCCATTTTTGATCTGGTTTTATCTAAATCAATTTTAACAACATTGGATTGTAAATTGCATAATTTTAGTAAAAGTCAATGACTGGGAGACTTGGATGTTTTATTTTAAATCTTTTATTTACATTTGAAAAACCGCCACAGGTAAAAGTTACCCCGTGGCGTTTCTAGTGTTAATGCATACTGTGACACTCTTAAATGCTTTGTATTTGTAGTGTGGCTATTCTACCACTAGATTCTCTGCGTGAGCATGCTCAGAGATGTGCTGATATTTACACACATTTCTACATATAAGTACAAGCTGGTATATTCCACACTTTGTGTGAAACTGTTCTTACGCACTCATTACACACACATCTGTGCGTACGCACTGTTGATAAATGAGGCCCCTGGAGATTCATCTGCTCTTAGATATTAGTCCATTATCATCTCATATAATGGAGAACATCATATTAGAAATGTGTTAGGAATGGATGCAGGATCATGAGAATCACACTGTTCATGTCTGTTGATTTCCACAGTCACATTCACCAGCATTGTTCCCAGAACCAGGAACGACTTCCTACAATGTAAGTCAGTAAGAAAACCAGCAGAAAAACTCACTGAGTGTGTTCATGTTCTTCCTGTAGAAGCTGAAAGAAGAGTTTTATCATTGATTATGTAAATGATGATTTGCACAGATATCTGGTCATCTGAGACACTGATGATACACTGAACGTGAAGATTTCAGCTACATGAATATCAAACAGATTCATCTGATGTGTTTTATCTCTATCAGATTCCCGTAAGCTCACTCTGGATCTGAACACAGTGAATAATTACCTCCGTCTGTCTGAGAGGAACAGAGTGATTACTGCCACTGACACAGTCCAGTCGTATCCTGATCATCGAGACAGATTTGATGAGTATTATCAGGTATTGTGTAGAGAGAGTGTGTGTGGACGCTGTTTCTGGGATCTGCAATGGAGCGGGTTTGGTGTGTATATATCAGTGTCATATAAGAGCATCAGCAGGAAGGGAGACGGTAATGAGTGTGGGTTTGGATCTAATGATCAGTCCTGGAGTTTGTTCTGCTCTCCCTCCAGTTACTCATTCAGACACAATAACATTAGGACTCATCTCCCTGTAAAGTCCATCAGCAGTAGAATAGGAGTGTTTGTGGATCACAGTGCAGGAACTCTGTCCTTCTACAGCGTTTCTGACACAATGAGCCTCATCCACACAGTCCAGACCACATTCACTCAGCCGCTCTATCCTGGGTTTTATGTTTGTGTTGGATCATCAGTGAAACTGTGTTGATGAATCAGAATAGACTGATGAGAGATTCTACCCATAATCAGAATCAGAAAGAGCTTTATTGCCAGGTATGTTTACACATACAAGGAATTTGTTTTAGTGACAGAAGCTCCACAGTGCAACAGAATGACAGTGACAAGACAGGACACAGATAATAAAAAGAATAATATACAAATATACAAAATAGACAATATACAAAATAGCAAAAACAGTATAAAAAATAGACAACTTTGTATGTATAAGTATGATATGTGCAAATTCTAAATGTATGTAAGCATGTGTGTTAAATAAATGTATGATAGTGTTGTGTGTTCCATGTTTATTGTCAAGTGTTTATGAAATGGATTGTCTGAGGGAAGAAACTGTTCCTGTGTCTGGCCATTCTGGTGCTCAGTGCTCTGTAGTGTCGACCAGACGGCAACAGTTCAAAGAGAAAGTGTGCTGGATGTGAGGGGTCCAGGTTGATTTTGCCAGCCCTTTTGCTCACTCTGGATAAGTACAGTTCTTGGAGAGAAGGGAGGGTTGTACCAATGATTCGCTCAGCAGTCCGGACTACCCTCTGAAGTCTTCTGAGGTCAGATTTGGTAGCTGAGCTGAACCAGACAGTTATTGAAGTGCAGAGGACGGATTCAATGATGGCAGAGTAGAACTGTTTCAGAAGCTCCTGTGGCAGGTTGAACTTCCTCAGCTGGCGAAAGAAGTACAACTTCTGCTGAGCCTTTTTGACAAATTGACAATTGACAAAGTGACTCGTCACCATCCTGAATGAGGCCGATAAGTGTGGTGTCATCTGTGAAATGTAGGAGCTTGTAAGGAGTGAAATTATTTTCTTATGAAATTATCTCCTCATGAAACCAAGTGAAACCAAGGAACTCACACAAAACAGATGCCATGCAACAAAACCATAAAACTAATCTGGAGAAGAGATCTCCAAAGAGAGCAAACAACACCTCTCTCCATGCTCATTTACGACCCCCTTCTCCCTCCTGCCCTCTCTGCCTCTCCCTCTTTTCCCCCAAAAGGTTTCACTCAAAGTTCATTAAGAATATGTATATACCACATATCATGGATCTTGTGAATCTGTTGTTTTTCCCCTTCATGTTTCGGATCATTCTAAAGGTTTCTGTGTGATTGGTTAATTGATCTCAATTCCACAGTAGTCACTTATATTATGAGAAAGATTGAAAACCATTGAAGAATTCTGTTCTGCTGAGGAGGGGGTGTGTCCCCCTCAGGGTCTGTAGGAATGTTTATCTATCTCCAGCCAGGTGCGACCCTGGGTCACGAGAACCTAAAAAACCAAAAGGTCTTTTATGTTTTTATAATTGATTTGAAGATTTCTTTGTTTCTTATTTGGGTATATAAGGGAAGTGAAAAAAACACTGTTGGGGATTCTGTAACTAGAAAACCCCACAGCATATGTGAATCTGGAGCTCTGCACCAGAACTCACATACTGCTGTGTGTCTCTCTACTGTCAGGTATGCATCTCTTAGATTCAATCTTTGAGCAATCAGTTGTTACGGATAGATAACTCAGAATCCAGTTGCAAGTGAAGTAATTTATTGTGACAATAAATAGTAAACAGGATCGCAAGCCAAACATGAGGATTCAGGTGAGTAGACGTGAACACACGAGGATTGCGAAGCCCTGACCCGATCCAGCTAGGGCAGTGGAATCCAGCGAGACTTTGATGATTTCCCACACTGGAAATAATCCGAGGCAGGGATCCACCGGGCACAAAGACTCTGGAGAGAACAACAAGCATAAGCAAGGACAAACAACGATCTGACAACATGCAGTACAACGAGACAGATAAAGACAGGACAGAACGAGCGGCAGGTGCAGCCGCGCTGATTAGCTCGTCAGCACCACGGTTGCCGGAGCAACGCTGAACGAGTAATCAGACAGGTAACAATACACAGGCACGCAGCAATGAACACACGGATCCATGAACCGTGAGAGTACCCCTCCCCTAGGAGCACCTCCTGGCGCTTCCAGAGGAACCCACCTGTTGATTGTAATCATCGATAAGCGAATTATCCAATATGTCCCTAGCAGGAACCCAACTCCTCTCCTCCAGACCGTAACCCTCCCAGTCCACCAGGTACTGAAATCCGCATCCCCTCCGCCTTGAGTCCAGAATGCGTTTTACCGAATAAGTGAGTTCCCCATCTATGCATGGCGGCGGTGGGGGAACTGGGGCAGGCGGATTAATGGTAGAACGAAAAACTGGCTTTAATTTGGAGACATGGAAGACAGAATGAACTCTCCTGTACACAGGGGGAAGTTTGAGGCAGACTGCCACCGGACTAATAATCTTGGTGACAGTAAACGGGCCAATAAATTTGGGAGCAAGCTTATTACAGACGGTACGGAGAGGAATATTCTTAGATGAAAGCCACACTTTTTGACCAATGACGTAGATGGGAGGCTTTGACCGGTGGCGATCGGTCTGGGCCTTGGTGCGCAACCCCACCCGGAGGATGGCTTCTCTAGCCCTCTTCCAGGTGCAGTGGCACCTCTGGACAAAGGCGTGGGCAGAGGAGACCGCGACTTCGGATTCCATACTCTGAAAAATAGGTGGCTGTTAACCTATGCTACACTCAAATGGAGATAGGCCCATAGATTACACTGGTAAAGAATTGTGTGTGTACTCCACCCAAGAAAGTCCAAGAGAGTCCAAGAGGATGGGTTCTGAGACACCAAACACCGCAACACGTTCCAAAATCTTGGTTGGCCCTCTCTGTTTGACCATTACTCTGGGGATGGAACCCAGAAGAAAGACTAACAGTCGCTCTTAACAAATGACAAAACTCTTTCCAAAATTTGGAAATAAACTGAGGCCCCCTGTCAGAGACCACGTCCACCGGGAGGCCATGAATACGAAAGACGTGATCAATGACAGCAACCGCTGTTTCTCTGGCTGAGGGTATTTTGGGCAGAGGAATAAAATTAGTTGCCTTCAAGAACCGGTCCACCACGGTCAAAACTACCGTGATACCCTGAGACGGCAGGAGTTCCGTCACGAAATCTAGTGAAATATGGGACTAGGGTCTCGAAGGAACAGCCAGCTGTTGAAGGAGTTCAGCTGGGGATCGATTAAAAGCCTTAGAAGTGGCACAGACAGAGCAGGCCAAAGCAAAATGTCGTTTGTCACGGGCCATAGATTGCCACCAGAACCGTTGTTTAATGAGAAAAACTGTTTGACTAATCCCAGGATGACAGGCTACTTTGGAAGAATGACCCCAACGGATGACATCGCACCGTAATCCTTCTGGCACAAATAAACAACTCAATGGGCATCCGGGCGGAGGCGTTACCCCTTGTAAGGCCCTTCGGACCTTCAATTCGATCTCCCAAGTCATAGCCAACACCACGATGTTCTGTGGCAGGATGGATTTGGGAGACAACGGGCGTTCGGATCGGTCAAAAATGCGGGACAAAGCATCAGGTTTAATGTTCCTCCGAACCCTCCAACCAATGATGCCATTCTTCCAAAGCCACCTTGACTGCCAGCAACTCTCTATTACCAATGTCATAATTACATTCGGCAGGAGACAAATGATGAGAAAAATACGCGCATGGATGCACCTTACCGTCCACGGAAGAACGCTGGGAAAGAACGGCACCAACCCCCACCTCTGACGCGTCGACCTCCACCACAAACAGACGAGATGGATCTGGGGCCAACAGAATGGGAGCTGAAACAAAGCAAATCTTTAGTTTTGAAAATGCAGCTTCCGCCACACCTGGCCACCTGAACGTCATTTTGGTGGAGGTAAAGGCAGTCAAAGCAGCGGCTAGCTGGCTGTAATTGCGAATGAAACGCCGGTAAAAATTGGCAAATCCCAGAAACCTCTGCAAGGCTTTGCGGGAATCAGGGGTTGGCCAATCTACCACAGCCTGCACCTTGTCGGGATCCATGCGCACTCCCTCGGACGACACAATGTACCCTAGGAAAGGAACAGATTGTGCATGAAAAACGCATTTCTCCGCCTTGACAAAAAGCCCATTCTCTAGCAGCCTCTGAAGCACTGACCTGACGTGCTGAACAGGTTCCTGGAGAGAACGAGAAAAAACAGCCAAACAGCATAACAAGATACTCAAAATGCCCCCTGTAGGTATTAAAAGCGGTCTTCCATTCATCCCCCTCCCTTATGCGAACCAAATGATAGGCATTGCGAAGATCCAACTTTGTGAAAAAGGAAGCACCCTGCAGACTCTCGAAGGCTGAAGACATCAACGGCAAAGGATAGGTATTCTTCACCGTGATGCGCCTTGACAAAAAGCCCATTCTCTAGCAGCCTCTGAAGCACTGACCTGACGTGCTGAACAGGTTCCTGGAGAGAACGAGAAAAAAATCAATATGTCATCCAGGTAGACATATATGAACTGATCGACCATGTCTCTCAGCACAGCCAAACAGCATAACAAGATACTCAAAATGCCCCCTGTAGGTATTAAAAGTGGTCTTCCATTCATCCCCCTCCCTTATGCGAACCAAATGATAGGCATTGCGAAGATCCAACTTTGTGAAAAAGGAAGCACCCTGCAGACTCTCGAAGGCTGAAGACATCAACGGCAAAGGATAGGTATTCTTCACCGTGATGCTGTTCAACCCTCGATAGTCAATACAAGGACGAAGGGAACCATCTTTCTTTTCCACAAAGAAAAACGCCACGCCTGCAGGAGAAGAAGAGGGAACAACAAAACAAGGGGAATGTGCTTTTAGTTATTATGCCGCCCGCAGTTGGAATCAGCTTAAAGTGGTCTTCCATTCATCCCCCTCCCTTATGCGAACCAAATGATAGGCATTGCGAAGATCCAACTTTGTGAAAAAGGAAGCACCCTGCAGACTCTCGAAGGCTGAAGACATCAACGGCAAAGGATAGGTATTCTTCACCGTGATGCTGTTCAACCCTCGATAGTCAATACAAGGACGAAGGGAACCATCTTTCTTTTCCACAAAGAAAAACGCCACGCCTGCAGGAGAAGAAGAGGGACGGATGATCTTGGCTGCCAGAGAATCAGAAATATATTTCTCCATGGCCTCCCTTTCCGGAGCGGAATGTGAGTATAATCTGCCCTTAGACGGAGACGTACCTGACAATAAATCTATCGCACAATCATAAGGATGATGCGGAGGAAGAGAAGCAGCCCGGGACTTACTGAACACTCCCTTCAGGTCAAGATACTCAGCAGGCACGTTTGACAGATCCACATGTTCATCCTAAAACACAGAACAACAAGCAGACAACAAACATGACGCATGACAATATTCACTCCAGGATGAGACTGTGTTTTGACGCCAGTTTATATTGGGGTTGTGTAATGATAGCCAGGGGTGACCCAAGACCACCGGAGCCAAAGGGGAGTCAGTGATAAGGAAGGAAATGTTCTCAGTGTGGTTGCCTGACGTAACGAGCCTCACCAACTGCGTGGAATGGGTGACAGGTGAGAGAGACTGCCTGCAGAGTGCACTGACTGAGATGGGTGAGTCGAGTGGAACCAAATGAATTCGCAGTTTGTGCGCCGTCTTGCGATCCAGGAAATTTCCCTCAATGAGAGTCAATGAGAGCTTTTACAATGGAATGTGTCCCGACCTATGAGTAGTTGAACTGAGAGAAGCGTTACTTCAGAGGAGGTTTTCTCCACTCCGCCTGCCAGTAACCTCCTATCTACTGACGGGCTTTGGCTTATATAATGTGGTTTACAAAATAAAAACTATGCTAAAATGTCTCTTCATTTTCGGTGACCAAAACGAGACGAAACGAAATATTATAACATTATTTCGTCTCGTTGAGTCGCGTTATTATTATTATTTTGCAGTATTTCTGTTTCTGGTGTCTCACTTCAGGCTGCATCAGGTCGCACTGCGCAGACGCAGATGACGTCACTTCCTCAAGCCCCACTCGCGGCATTATTTAGAGCAGTGTTTCCCAACCGGGGTCTGTCGAGAGCAGGAGTGCAGTGTACAAAAATCGTTTTTTAATATTTTTAAATTGCTAAAATGTTCAAAAAAGCAGCTATTATATAATATCCATTTCTAATGTCACCAATAATTAGAGATGCGCTGAAATTCCGGCTGCCGAAAATTAGTTCACTGCTCAGGATTCACTTTCACGTGGTGTGACGCTCTGTGTATTATCCGCTCTATGTGTGTGTGTGCTCCGCTCAGTCGCTCAAGGCCCATGTGAGTGCTCCACTCATATACCGTTCATGCTCATCGGAACAGCAAAGTCCACTCAAAAATCAAGCTGATAGGAAACATCGATGTAGTACACTATTGTTTCTGTCTGCAATAGCCCCACTGTGCTGTAACACGGTGCATGGGCAACTCTGGTAACGTTGCACTCTCATTCATTGATCTGCTAAACGTTATGCTCATGTGTCCTCTGATGATAATAGCTTTCTAGGATTAAACATTATTTGGATAATTGGTAAAAAAAAAAAAAATCTCTTAATAGCCCTACTGTGTGTTAGACCTACCCGAAAAACTAAAAAGCAATTTATTTCATTTGTAGGCCTATCATGATTTTTTTTATTTGTGCTATCATTAGTCATTTCTTTATTTGTTCTTATTTTATTTTTGACTGCTTAGCCTCCTTGTCATTTTTTATTCAATTCAAAGTTTTAAATCAAGCTATCTCGTGCTACTGCAACAAAATTACCCAACTGTAAAATCAAAAATACACTGAGTGAGCAAAACTTTGTTTAATTACCATTATAACTAGCTATCTCACAATGTTTACATATGAATAAAA